CCCACGGCAGGGGCCCCGTCTGCTTCCGCCCCCTCTGACGGCCTGTGCGCCTCCCCTTGAGGGAGGCCGCAGCGGGTCCCGCCCCTAGCCTCGCGGGCCACGTGCAGCAGGCTGAAGGGCTGAGTCGAGAGGAGCCCCCTGAAACAGGAGGGAATGCGGGAGACGTGCCCGTGTGTAGCAAAGTGCCGGGAACCGAGCGACAGTCTCCTTTTCTTCGGTTCAGGACGACTCCCCTACTGCGTGAGTCGTGTCCTTCTCTTTTCTCCAGAACATGCCTGGCCTGGCCGCCGTCCTCAGCGGCTGGCCTGCCCCTAAGTCTCGTGAATTCCTTGTGTTGGTTCGACCCCCTGTTTGGGGCGCAAATGACCGATTCCCTCGTGTCCGTGGGCAGTGTCCCTCCGGGGTGACTCTGCTCCTTTTTACACGCAGCCCCTGCTGATTTTCCCTTGTCTTCGGTGGTGTTGAGGCTTGCGTGTGGCTGTGGGCGCCCGGGATAGACGAGGAGAGCGTTTTGCCGGCTGTCGACCTGAGCGTGTGTGCTGTTCGTGTGTGGGCCCTCCCCTGGGGGCAGGAGAACCCGGGACCTTTGCACATCTCCCCCGGGGCCTTCCTGTTTGCTTCTCTGGGAGCGAGGCTGAGGCTCGGGGACACCATGCTCGTGGGCGGGTGCAGCCACGGAGGCAGGTGGGAGGGTGAGACGGACCCCACTTCCCTTGCTCCGCGGCCAGCGGGCACCCCTCCTGACTGGCTTCTGCCGCAGGGGACCCCTGGGACCTGAGGACCAGGCGATGAGCCCCGTCAAGAGGCAGGGCAGGGAGCGGTCATGGACCTGGGCTCTGCACGGGGCTTTGGCATCCAGCACCGGGTCCAGGCTCCAATGGACAGCGCCGGAAGAGGGTCAGAGAGGTCGACGCCCTTGGCCGTGGTCCCCCAAGTGGCGAGCCCCAGCCGAGACAGGATCCTTTCTGCCCCAGGGACCACATTCTGGCTGTTTCCTTAACCGCCCCTCACGCCGCCTGGAAGACAGGGGAGCCAGGTCCAGAGGGCCGGGTTCAAGTTCCCCGTCCACCCGCTGGCAGCCGTGCGACACCCCGCCCTCGCTGGTTGGGGCCTGAGGTTTCCCGCGCAGACGGGGGCTAGGAAGGGCCACGCGCGGCTGTGGGTGCGGGGTGTGGTCGCTGCCTGTCCTGCTTCCACGGGTCACATGAATGTCGGCAGACACGCACACGGTCTACACTGTGGCCTCTGACCCTGCACCCCTCCAGTGGGGCGCACTGTATGCGAACGTGGGTGCACCCACCAGGGGGTGGGGGTGGGGAGGGAGGTCCCGGGTCAGATGTGTTCACACTGAGGCTCTCCTGCCAGATGCAGGGCAGCCCGGGGCACAGAAATCCTCTGTTCAGGGACCGGTCACGCTGTAGTGTCACGGTCCCTACTCCCCCGGGGCCTGCTTACTCTGCACTGACACCGGGCTTTCCTGTGTACCCGTGGCCCATGGCCCTGCACCTTGGCAGTGACTGTCACAGGATACAGATGAGGACTCAAGGTTCAGGGGCCGTGCTGGCCCAGGGCCGTGCTGCTGACAGAGGCAGAGCCCTGTCACCAGGGGTCACCAGCTCTGGTCACCGTGGCCTCCCTGCCGACGTCTGCCATTGTCCTGAGGTGTCAGAGCCCCCTCACTCCCTCAGTTCAGGGCCCCTGAGGGCTCCCCCCTCTCCAGGCCCTGCCACACCCTGGCTGGGAGCCTGCTTGGTGCCAGTCTCCCCGGGGACCCTTCTGTGGGCACATGACGGGGTGGGGACTGGGAAGCCACAGGAGGCTCAGGGCACCGCGCTGAGCAGACTTGGGCCAGGGCTGGAATTCTCTGGAATGGCAGCCATCCAGCAGTTGAGCACCAGTGCGGGAACCTAGCAGGGAAAGAGAGCAGGCTGGAAGCTCAGAGATCTGGCTTCACCTCTCTGAGCCTCAGTCTCCCCTTCCGTGAAATGGGAAGATTGGGAAACACTTGCACCTTTCCATTCTGAGGAGAAGGAAACCCCAAACCCCGAGGCCCCGAATCACCCTCCTCTTCTCTGGGCCCCTTTTCTCTCCTTTCCGGAGAAGACCGAGGCAGATGGACTCAGGATGTTGCCACCCTGGGCCCTGACCGTCTCCCTCTAGGAAAATACGTCTTCACGGGGGAGCAGTGGGCGTAGGGCGCACTCAAAGAAGTGTCCTGGGGAACCTCTTTCCTGGGGTGCCATTGACCCTACTTCTCCAAAAAGGTCTTGGCTCCTGTGTCGTGTCTGGTGGTAGGTTCCTTGCCCATTTGGAGGAGGGTCTGGTCGTGAGGATGTGTCTGTGCCCTGGGCTGTTTCTTCTTCCCCACGTGACCTCCTGGTGCCAAGGCACTAACAGGCCACTCTGTTGTGTCCACAGTCCCCACAGGTACTCTCGCCAACGCCGACAGAGGTAACCGCCTGCCCCCCGGCCCGCCACCCTCCCACCCCGTTTGCTCATGGTGCTTCCCCCCCCCGCCCCGTCCCCGGGTTATAAAGATAACCACCATGGCACCCCCGGCAGGGCCTCTGCGGCTCCTGACCGTGGGGTCTGGGGCCCCGGTCCTTGGTGGCCGGAAGTGCCGTCCTCGGCGTTGGTTATTTT